TCGGTAAAGGACAATTGAGGCGGCTCATCTTTCTCCACAGTCGCAGGAGGAAGTCTCAATCATGCCACTCCCTCCGCGTAGATCAGCCTTGAGGCTAAACCTCCAACCTCTGGGTATACACAACCTTCCCGGGCACCCTCTGAATTTCACACCTCGCTGAAGGCGCCGGACCCGCAGTTCAATTTTTTTGTGGACGACGAGCGATTCGTCGAAGTCTCCCAAACCACCGAGATATTCAATAAGGCCTCACGACTTTCGGAGGGACCAGCTTCTCGAGCATAGTGATCAAGCGACTACCCTTCTCCTTGCTTTGCATGCAAGTTCTATGACGGCGACTTATAGATCTCCATTTCCAGACTAGGCTGAGCTCCGTGAACACACTCATCGATCGAATTCTTCATCCATGCTTCGAGCTACCTACCCTCACGTGGTTCTGTGGTACTAGCTTTCGAAGGACTTCATACTCGCCACCAACACGATCTCAGGTCGCAGCCCAAGCGCGCGAAGATTGTACTTGAACCCGGTGGTAAAATTGGGGGTTCCCCTTCGCATTCGAGGGCCAATATCCATCTCTGGATTGAACCCTGACAGATTCGATTCCGCCCGTGCTATTTAGCCTACTAGTACCCCTTGCAGTTCCCGGAGTTGTAGGGAGAATAGGTAAGAGAATAGAATAGGCTCCGCCATCTTCCGTGCGATACCGCGGACTTCACGTAAATTCACCGGGCCGTCGAAGTTTAGTATATACCGTAGGGTGTTGGCATAACAATTCAATATTCGACAGGCCTGGAGGTGCAGACTTGAGAACGACAAAGTACTAGTCAAGTTCAACGCCAAAATCACGACGCGAACCTTCAAACAGCGCGAATCACGCACTTCGCCCGTTTAAGCAGGTCAATTCCAATGACGTCACCAAGGTGTAGAGCCAGTAGGGGCTATTCATGCACATGGGCTACCGACTCGGACATGTCCCGTCTGGTTAGTTTCAGAACCTTTATTTGATAGCATCCCCTCCGAGATAGAAATTCTAGGGAAAGAGGTGGTATTTGAGAGAGACATTAGTACGCATCCTAACAGCTAGAGGCCATGCTAGAATCGATGACGATCGTGACCTTGGAATTACTCACTCCATGACTCTATTCTTACTGAGCTCCCTATTATCGCAGTACGTTTGTCAGCGTGGGGCGGATCCTCCTGAGCTTTCCAACCGTCACATCCTGGATTACTCTCGCAATAATCATCCCTGCGGTGAACATGCCACCGTCCAGAGTTTCCGCCCTACTGAAGGGTACCTTTTCCTCGCCTCCCTCCACCACCGGCCAAATCAAGTTCTTCGTACCGCCTCCTCCCGGCGTCCGTGCGTACCAGAAAGTCAATGCAGACCCGAACACCGGCGAGCGCGATAGAAACTACTCTCAGGAAGATAAAGAGGTCGTTATAGAGAACCTCCGCGGGAAGGAAGACTGTGCCACGCTTGACGCGGCTGGGTTCCAACTCCTTCACCGTCCAGCCAAACATATAACCTTTACCGACGATGCTGAGATAAAACGGGAGTATTACCCGGAGAGCGTTGAGCTCATCAAAGCTGCAACCGGAGCGGGAAGGGTAGTGTTTTTTGACCATAGTGAGCATCGAATTGTGGCCGTGACCCTCGGAATCCTGATGAGTCTCTTCTAGCCATCCGTCGCCGTCGGCCAGGAGAAATCGACGACAGTCCCGACAAGCGTCAACCAGTCTCGCAAGCCCATGTCGACCAAACGGCTGCATCCGCGGTCGCTCGCGTTAAAATGCACTGTCCCGACGAGGCTGCGGACCTCCTACGCCGCCGTTTCCAGATAATAAACCTCTGGCGCCCCATTTCCCACCCTGCTCTGGATTGGCCCCTGGGTCTGTGTGATTATGGAAGTGTTGATCCAGACACAGACACATTTCCCGTTGCCCTTGTCTACCCAGACCACGAGGGCGAAACACTGGGAGTCAAGTATAATCCTAATCAGAAATGGAAGTACTTTCGTGGGGTGACTCCGGAAGAAGCGATTCTGATTAAATGGTGAGCGCAATGACTTGAAAAGCAGCCCGCTGAACAGATTCCTTTCCAGCTTCGACTCGATTCAAGATGGCAGTGTGGCCATCTTTGCTCCGCACACCGCATTTCAAGACCCCACCACTCCAGAGGGAACGCCTGCAAGAGAGTCCATCGAGTTGAGAGCTCTCGTATTTTACGATTGACCAGTGACTGCCGGAGAGGGGCCTTGTAAAAGCTGGTGTCCCGCGGACGATACTTGAGAAGACATGTAATAATCTATTCGCGCACATTGGCCTGGCTGCTAAAATCGAATTTTGCACACAGAAGATAGATGCTGCTGATAGATAGTTCTGTTCAGGTGCTGGACATTGTTGATGTAATCGCACCGACACCCGACTTGATCTCATAGATAGTTGTTATAGCGTTATTGCCGATCCACCGGGGACGGTTCGGAACGGAAATGACAATAGGGTATCCATACGCGATGACCTTACATTCTTGTGGCTGACTGTCGAACAACGAACACGATTCCCGGCATTGTCGAAGAACCTGTCCCGCGGTAGTCGGACGGTGGGCGGCCACATCAGAATGACACTTGTGCGCACACACTGAAGAACTTTCTGTATTGCTCATTGATTCGACGAGCCCTGGGAAGACATCCGCACCTCATTCAAGGCCTCCTCCTCCAGAACCCCGTCGAAGGAATGCAGGGTTTGCAGAGGAATTTTGAGATACAAGTCTGCTTCAAGGATTACAACGAGGATGTCCTTCAGCTTCTGTGCAGCAATGCGTGCACGACGTCTTCCTGGCGTCTTGGTTTATTTAGACATAGTTCCACTTGTATAATGGGTCCTTTGTAAATTGTGACGATTTTTGTCGCAATCTAGGCGCGCGGTGAACTGAACACGATCTATTTTATCTCAATCTTATCCGCAGATCACATGCTCTTTTTCCCCCCTTTTAACGCCGTGCTTAACGCCGAACGGAGCCCTTCACCAAACAGCGCTTAAGTGAAAGCAGACCTTATAATAACAGATCGACTATCATCTGTTACATAAGGTCTGTTTGGAGACTATCCATACGCCGCCTTGAAGTTGGATTGGGTCTAGTCTAGCTGGCAAAGGATGTCGGGGTTGTTTGTGCTCGCTTGGTAGTGTAGACTCAAACGCAATCACGCGGGCCTCAGCCAACCTAAGTTTCTCCGCCAATATTGGGAAACGATCCTTGGTCGATCCCACTATGACTGTGAATATCCGAGCCGTGTGTGGCGTACCTCAAGTTCAGGCCTCAGCAAACGTCTACCGCATTTGGCATACTTGCTCGAAACGCGAACCCCGGAGGACCTGGAGAAGTTGACTCACTGCCAGCTCTCGTCCGGAATCTTTATCGCGACGCAGCTGAGAAGAGCTTGCATGGCACCATCCTCTTATATTGCATGACTACCTAGGCAACGGAATCTGATGTTACACCTGATTTCCGCCCCAATCTCATTGTATACCCCTGGGTTCACTAGCCTCAGCTCAGTCAGCTCCTTCGACAACTTAGTAAGCTGAGGCTTGCGCACTAAATCTTTTGCATCAGGATTTATCAGGATTTATCATCTCTTGACTATGGACACCTGTATCTTGAGGAGGTTTAAAAGCCTAGCGTAAACACTAAATCTCTTCACTATCAAACAGCATCTAATATGGTCTCGACAACTTCGCCTTCCTCGACTGTCGCCAAGCTCACGTTCTCCGTACCACCACCAAACGGTGCTCGTGCATACTCACGCATAACCACGGATTCCAATACTGGAGCATTCGAGCAAAACTTCGCAAAAGGAGTGAATGAAGTTGTCATCGAGAACATTCGGGAGAAGGATGAGGCCGCTACGTTGGATACCTTTGGCTTCCAGCTCGTTCAACGCTCGGCCAAACATACAGCGTTCACAGACGATGCTGATATACAACGAGAGTACTATCCGGAGAGCGCTGAGCTCATCAAGGAAGTGACTGGTGCTACCAGAGTTGTATTTTTTGATCACAGTAAGCGTCGACTTATTCTTTACGGGACGTCCGAACTCTAACAACCTTCATAGCCTTCCGGCGCCGCCGCCCAGGACAATTCGATGATAGCCCGGATAAGCGTCAACCTGCCTCGCAGACTCACGTCGATCAAACCACCGCATCTTCCATTGCTCGTGTTCACCGCCATCTTCCTCCCGCGGAAGCACCAGACCTCCTTAAACGCCGCTTCCAAATAATAAATCTTTGGCGTCCCATTTCTCATCCCGCCATTGACTGGCCCCTCGGTCTGTGTGACTACAGGAGCGTTGACGAGAAGAAGGACTTGTTCCCCGTTGCCCTCATCTACCCCGACCGCGAAGGAGAAACATTCGGCGTCAAGTACAATCCGAACCAGCAATGGAAGTATTTCCATGGCGTGACCCCTGAGGAAGCAGTCCTGATCAAATGGTGAGCATGGTCATTGCATGTTTGAACTGTCTGTTAAAATGGTTGTCCAGTTTTGACTCAGTCCAGGATGGTAGTGTAGCAATTTTCACCCCTCACACCGGTTTCGAAGATCCTACCACTCCGGAGAGAACGCCCCCACGAGAGTCCATTGAGTTGAGAGCTCTTGTGTTCTATGATTAACATTCAGTAGTCAGAATTCGCTTCACCACAGACGATGCCCAGGTCTTCACTGATCGCGTCTCCTTATATCCTCCTTTTTCTTTCATCACAATGGAATTGCTGCTACGATTATCCTTAACGCCGTTACGTGCCAGACCATGAAATTTGAATGGGCATAGGAGGAGCGTAAGGCACCCCTAACCAGCTTTCATCTCCCAAGAACAACATCTGCGGAAACCTCTAGGTGCTACTCGGGTTGTACACTATATTAGGCTGGACTGTGTTGATGTTGTTTCAACTTTCGTGGTCCATCGACATCCCCAAGCTCAATCATTTAAGCTCAGGTGTGAAAAAAATAACTCTCTGCCTGGGAGTCGAACCCAGCTTTCGCGCGCACCACGCAGATGCAAATGACAGGCGCGTGTACTAACCGATATACTAGCAAAGATTGTGAAACGTCTTCACCATCAAAGTATATGGCCAGAAATCCGTCAAACATCGCATCGCCACCTTGACCTCAAAATTAAATGCATTCCCTTCTTGGCCTCTACTGCATTGCTCAACCTCGCATCTTGGTGTTTGCACCCCTCAGGACTTCCACCGTCACACGATGCGCACGTCTTCGGTCCACCACTTGATTTCCTGGAGAACGCAATTGCGGAAACGTTGATACAGATCTAGGAGTGGACAGTGAATCGTGGCTGGATCCAAGGCTTGGTCAAGATGTTGTCGTCAGAGCTTGGGAATCAGTACTCAGTCATCATCTGGCACCTGGGTGTCGCTCTTGCAGTACACCCGAGTATAACGGATAGGTCAACGAGGTCAGCTGGCCGATAAGTTTTAGTAAGCTGAGCACGCGACTGGAGCGAATCCTAGCGAATCTTCCGTGATGCAAATTTGGCTTTATCATCTCATGCACGGCTTCGAGGACTTATAAGCGCGAGTGGAAACCCGGCTCTCTATAATACCTTCACACCAGTGGCAATGGCTCTAGGAATTTCACCCTCTTCTACCACCGCCAAGCTTACATTCTTCATACCGCCACCGGACGGTGTCCGTGCATATCAAAACATCAACGCTGATCCAAAGACTGGCGAGCGTCCTCGAAACACCGGACGAGAAGAGAAGGAGGTTGTCATCGAGAATCTTCGTGGGAAGGAGGACACCGCTACACTTGACACAGCTGGGTTCGAGCTCGTCCACCATCCGGCTAAACACACAGCTTTTACCGACGACGCCGAAATCGAACGAGAGTACTACCCAGAGAGTGCTGAGCTCATCAAAGAAGTGACCGGCGCGAGCAAAGTTGTATTCTTCGACCACAGTAAGCGTTCAGGCCAGCCCTATGACTTCAGATTTCTGACGCTCACGCCCAGCCATCCGCCGCCGCCGCCCCGGAGAAATCGATGACAGCCCCAATAAGCGTCAACCGGTTTCACAAACACATGTAGACCAAACCACAGCTTCTGCAATTGCACGCGTGCACAGGCATCTTCCTCCTGCCGACGCGCCAGGCCTCCTACAGCGACGCTTCCAGATAATCAATCTCTGGCGTCCCATCTCCCATCCCGCTATCGACTGGCCCCTGGGGCTGTGCGACTACCGAAGCGTTGACCCGAAGCGAGACGCCCTCCCCGTCGCCCTCGTCTACCCTGACCGCGAGGGCGAAACGTATGGCATCGTGTATAACCCCAATCAGAGATGGAAGTACTTCCACGGAGTGACACCGGAGGAAGCAGTTCTGATCAAATGGTATGCGTTCCGGCCTCGGCATAGAAAGATCATGCTGACGTCGTGGTTTTCTAGCTTCGACTCGATTGAGGACGGCAGTGTCGCTAGGTTTACCCCCCACACCGGATTTGAAGACCCCACAACGCCGGAGGGAGCACCATTGAGAGAGTCCATCGAGTTGAGGGCCCTTGTATTCTACGACTAACCTGCAGTTGCCCTTGTATGTATATATACCTATCTAAATGTCCATTGGATTTGTACCTTCATCTGGCCTTGATCGCATAATTGATACATTTTTGCAGTATTACACATGCAAACGACATCACGTTGATTCGCGCACGATCTACAGCAGGCAAGGACCTGCATGGACCAAGTTTTTGGGAACTAAGATTCGCCCCTCAAACCGATTTAGTTTTGTAAACCAAGACATACGCCACAGAGTCTTCGCCTGTTAAGCCGAGGCAGTATAAGCAGGTGTGAATCACAATAGAATATGGAACGCACCTCCACCATCGAGCGTGGCGAGTTTTTCCTGGGGGAACACAGAGACCTTCTCGTCATCGAACTTGTACCAATCCTCGTCCTCCTCATTCAGCTCAATCGCAGAAGACCCAGACGGCGCGCTGACACCTGAGCCTGAAGCATTTTCTGACGATCCAAGTTGAGCAGACGCGGCCGCTTTCGACGCGTGGAATACACTCTTCTTCACAAACCCGATATAGTGCCCTGCGTCAGCTGCAGCACCTTTGTGTGTCACGATAGCTGTATGAAAGGATTTAGTCCAGAAAAATCGAAGAATAACCGAAGGATAAACCCACCGACAAGATCATACAGCCCGCTAACACTCGCGCCAATATCCTGCTTCACCTCCTGGTTAATCACCGCCTCCAGCTCCTCCCTTTCCCTCTTCCTATACACGCTTTCGTCCTCCAACTCGCCCCCTGAGACAACCTTTCCGCTGTCCAGCACCGCATCAGCCGTAGGGGTATCGGGTTCAGCAGCGGCCGCCACCTCGTCCATCTCGACATCGGTTTCGGCGACGCTTTCCGCTGCGGTGACAACATTCACGACGGTTTTCGTCCTCTGTCGCACTTTGCGCCGCTCTACTCGCTCCTTCTCAATTTCCTTCGTTTTTCGGCTGGCAGGGAGGAGCTTCGCCCTCAGCTCATCCGTTGCAAGATCCAGGGCATCAAATTCAACGGGAAACTTGACTTTGCGCTACAGGTGGTATTGATTATGTGGAAACAAAGTACCAGGAAGGGAAGGCGCGTACCAGGATCTTTGCCTTTTTCTGGATGTCCTGACGCCATGCGAAGCGGACCATGTGCACGAGAAGGTATCCTGGCATCCGCGTCATACGCGATTTTTGTGTGTAAACGGCCTCGCGGCCGAGGGTGGGTGATCGTTTTTCAACTTTTTGATCGAGCGACTGTGTATTTGAGAATCGGTAAGACTAAAGAGAGCGTGGAAGAGACAAGTACGTACGTTCATGATACCTGTGAGCATAAAGTTTGTCGTAATGTTGATGTTGCATTCGATCTTGAGGACAGTCTCATGTGTGACGGATGACCCCTCTTCTGGGGCCTCATCGCACGTCAGTCTGAGATAACTCTACAATCAGCCATCCTCCACATCTATTTCGAGCGTTGAAACTCAACTCTCTGCGTATCTCGCCCATGAGATATTGCTCAACGAATTTTTTGGGGCTTGGCACGGCCATTTCGGACGGGGTAGACAAAGAGGAGCCAGATGGAAGACCAGGGACATTTCGGAGGGTATTGATGATTTGTCCCAAGCATTCTTCCGCGTCTGTGTTTCGTTCAGTTGCAGCGATCCTTACAAGTGCATAGCAGCAAAACGTACCTTGCTGTGCGTAACCGCGGCCCAGACCAGACGCCTTCGAGCTACGATCCATTTCTGCAAACTGAGGATTGACCTGTATTGGGTGAATGTCAAGATGTAACCAAAGACGCGATGAGGGATATTGCTAACCTGGCGCAAAGTTGAGAGGAAAGTCATAGGAGTGATACTGTCTGTTGTCCGTGACATCGTGGAATACAGATCGCGAAGGGCAGCTGGAAGAGGAGTTGCTGACTGGAGAGAAGGTCTTGAAGGGCCTGGCGTATCAGATATTGTTGGTCAAAGATGGAAGGATGACGTACGTGCTGAGAGCGATCTGGAGTTCGGGGATGGCGCGCAGAGCTTGAACAGAGGCATTCATGTAGCACGTATTACCGAGACTGTATGTTAACGTGTTACTGCAGGTAGATAGAATAATATTTTTGGAACGTACTTGCGAAGGCCGACAGGTTTGGCAAGCTGAAGGTCTTGTTAGAACGCGGTAGTAAGGTGGGACAAAGGAAATTACAGCTTCTGCTAGTTCTGCATCGTCCATATCTAGGGCCATTATTTGAGCTTTGAAGATGTTAAGTATGGGCAAGGCCTTACCTTCCAGGAACACTGTAGGTTTTGTGGGGGGTTTTGGTAGCTCCCCAGCAGCACCAATGATCATGAATGTCTGCCCTGCCTTCGGACCGATCTTCTTCCATAAAGAGTCGTCCTGCATAGCTGAGGTTAGCATAAATCACACGTCAAAGGCTGCTGAGTACCTTGAGCACACCACCCTTGACCATAACCTTCATTCGGTCAACGGGAACTCCGGTGGCCTGGTAGACTGCATCCTTGAAGACAGCTGGGGGGAGATCGGGGTCTAGTTGGACATCGTACACCTTTCCGGCGTGCTTGATTTGTACGGGGAGGGGAGCCATGGTAGGATCGGGGTAAAGTGCACAATGTAGGTTGACGCGTACACCGCGTTCGCCTTGTTTTGTATGCACGTATTTGTCAACACCTTGCGATGTGTGACGATTATTGTAAGATAAGATAAAAAGCTTTATCTCCCTCCACTATGCGCGACTCGAGTAAAGCGACGGAGACTGCATCACCTTCATAAACTGACATACAAGAAAAATATTTCGGCTATAAATACGGCTACATATGAACATTTTCAACGACTTGCAACGGCAGATTGTAGAATGTTCGATGAACAGGAACAAACAGCACTTGATGGTCGATTTTTCGTCGAGTGGCGCACCTTGCAAGTACAAAGTGAGTCTGAGATACGCATTACAGAGTGCTCGCGAGCCCTTATTAAAGATCTAGAGGTGTGACAGGTTCGACTTCAACTTCAAGCGGCAACAACCGATCACATAGATTTGGTCTTGCTTAGATCTAAGGGCGTCAGCAAATCTTCTTGTTCTCTTTCGATCATCGTTAAATCGATAAATTTATTTCTTTTGGTGACCTTCGTGGAAGGCTGGAAGCAAGTGCCTGAGCCCTATTTTCCTTGTCTCACCTCAACTATTTCGAACATGTCGAATCAGCCCAAAGCCCCACCGACCGAGCATGAGCTCAAGTCGGCATTGGTGGCGCTCAAAACCAGATACCCAACTCTCGGCATCGCGAAAACCCACTCACTTCTACTCACGACTTACCCAGACTGGTCCGTCAGCGAAAAGCGCACGCGAAAGGTTCTGCAGAACGAAGGACTCATCCTCGATTCACCCACCCCGCAATTAGGCGTGGACATGGTCTACCCCTCGTCGCGCCTTATCCCCAATCTTGATATACCCAAATGGACAGCCAAGGCACAAGTCAAATACTTTGACAAGAGGAAGGGGAAGGGCCTGGTGGCAATCCAGGATATAGAGGAGGGTG